GGACACTGGGGGGACACTGGGGGACACTGAGGGGACACTGGGGGGACACGGGGGACACTGAGGGGACACTGGGGACACTGGGGACAGGAGGTGACACAGGACAGGTCACAGGAGGTGACCCAGGTGCAGGAATCCCCTCGGGATGGGTTGGGATGACGGGAAGGGGTTGCTGGGATGCCCTGGAGGGGCCATTCCTGCGGATCCCAGTGACATTCCCGGTGCCATTCCCGGTGCCATTCCCGGTGCCATTCCCGGTGCCATTCCCAGTGCCATTCCCGGTGCCATTCCCAATGCCATTCCCGGTGCCATTCCCGGTGACATTCCCGGTGACATTCCGTGTGTCCCGCAGTGTGCTCCATCCGGGTCATCGGCGAGAGCGACATCATGCAGGAATTCCTGTCGGAGTCAGACGAGGTGGGTGACGTCATCCCGCGGAATTCCATGGAAAAAACTCTTCCATGGAATCGCCAAGGTGGGAAAACCCCTCCTGCCCAACTGTCCCCAAGGCCACCCCTGATCCCTGTCCCCAAGTGCCACATCCATGGGTTTTGGGACAATTCCAACGGTTTTTAGTGGGATTGAGGCTCGGTCCCACAGAATTCCATGGAAAAATCCCCACGGAATCATGGAATCACCGAGGTTGGAAAACCCCTTGGACCTCCTCACGTCCAGTTGTCCCCAAGGCCACCCCTATCCGTGTCCCCAGGTGCCACATCCGTGGATTTTGGGACAATTCCAACCGTTTTTTATGGGATTGAGGCACCCCGAGCTCCCAAAATTCCTCCAAACCCCACATTCCATGGGGGAATCTCCCCAAATATCCCAGCGGGAGCCTCATCCTGTCCCTCAGGAGAAGAATCCAACCCCATCCCTCCTCCCACCCCGCTGGGGGATTTGAAGGGATCTCTGGAAAACCGGCATTCCCTGATTTTTTTGGGGGAATTTTCCCAGAATTACAACGGCGTCTCCGACGTGGAGCTGCGGGTGGCGCTCCCGGACGTCACCACGGTGACGGTCAGGGTGAAGAAGAACAGCACCACGGACCAGGTGTACCAGGTGAGCCCATTCCCACCTGGAATTTCCTTCCCACCGGGAATTCCCATCCCCTCAACTCCATTTCCCCACCCCCACCTGGAATTTCCTTCCCCTCACCTCAATTTTCCTTTCCCACCTGGAATTTTCCTCCTTTCCCACCTGGAATTTTCCTCCTTTCCCACCTGGAATTTTCCTCCTTTCCCACCCGGATTTTCCCCCATTTTTTGAGGATTGGGATCCCCTAGATCCGTGGATTACGGGGAATAAAATAACGCACGGGAGACCCTTTGGAAAAAGAGATGAAAATTCCTCTGGAAAAGAGCAGGAATTCCAGAATCCTACGGATAAACGGGATTTGGGGGTGTCCAGCACACAACCCATGGAATTCCACACCGACTTTTGGCCGTGGGATAATCCCAGACGGGAATTTTCCACTCCTTTTCCCTCGGGAATCCAGGCTGGAATCGTGGAACCCCCACAACCTGGAAATCCCCGGGAATGGGGGCGGGGTGGGGGGGAGCGAAACGGGAATGAAGAATTCCTGGCAGAGTTCCAACCGGGTTTTCCGTGGTCAGGGAATTCCCGGGAAGGCTGATCCCGTTTTCCCGGCGTTTTCCAGGCGGTGGCTGCCAAGGTGGGCATGGACAGCGTCACCGCCAACTACTTCGCCCTCTTCGAGGTCATCAACCACTCCTTCGGTGAGCCCGGAATTCCGCGGGATTTGGGGAGAAAAAGCTGGAAAAGTGGGAATGGAGGGGGATCCGCAGGGAGGGATTGTGGAATTGCTGGGGCAGGGACGGCTCCCACCAGCCCAGGCTCCAGCCTGGAGGATTCCAGGGAATCCATGGAGTAACCTGGGGTAGGGAGGGGTTTATCCCTAAAATCCTGTTTAACCAGGACAGGGAATCCTGGAAAGATCCTTAAAGATCTTCGGGATTTTGGGACTTCCCACTGTCCCAGGTTGTTCCCAGCTGGAATTCAGGGATCACTTCCAGGGATGGGGAATTGTCCCGGCTGGAAAAGCCCCCTGGGCCAATCCCACCAAATCCCCTCCCCCGGGTGCCGCTTCCAGGAGTTTTTGGGATAATTCCCGGGAATGAGGGCTCTGCCCTCCTCTGAGCAGCCCCATCCAACACCTGACCGCCTTTTCCATGGGGAAATATTCCCAAGAATCCAAGCTGGACCATTTCCCCATGGAAATCCTGATCCCGTTTTTTCCCTGGGAGCAGATCCCGATCCCTTCTCCCCCCTCATCCCGGGTCCTGATGGATTTGAGGCCTGGCTGTGGAATTCTGAGGGATTTGGGCTCTTTCCTGGCTCTGCTCAATCCTGGATTCCCTCAGCATTCCCAATTTCCAGGGTTCCTGGGATGGATTCCCTGGGATGGAGGCGTGGTCGCACCGTGGGATGGGGATTATTTGGGATGGGGATTATTTGGGATTTGGAGCTGAGGTTTCATTCCCAGCCGGAACCTCCATCCCTGGATTCCCATCCCGGCGTTGGGAGAGGATTTTAGGGATGTTCCTCGAGATTCCAGGGATTTTTAACTCCTCAAATGACCATTTTTAATTCCTTAAATCCCCTCTAAAAGGAGGATTTAAGGAATTAAATCCATTCCAATGCTGCCCGGGATCTCCAGGATCCCACGGAATTGCCCCTCCAAAGAATTTTGGGATCATTTGGAAGATCTGAGGATCATCATGGAGGGATTTGGGATCATTTGGGAGAATTTTGGGATCATTTTGGAAGTGTCCAGGATCATTTTAGAGGGGTTTGGGATCATTTTTGAGGCTTTTGGGATCATTTCCAAAGGGTTTGGGATCATTTTGGAAGGATCTGGGATCATTTTGGAAGGATTTGGGATCATTTTGGAAGGATTTGGGATCATTTTGGAAGGATTTGGGATCATTTTGGAAGGATTTGGGATCATTTTGGAAGGATTTGGGATCATTTTTGGAGGTTCCCAGTGGTAAAATCCCATTTTAATGCGGATTTTTTGCCTCTCCTGGAATCCCCGTCTTTCCCATGCCCTGACCCCAACATCCCACGATTTTTCTGGGATTTTCCCAGGATTTCCAGGCCGTTCCCAGTGCAGAAGTTGCTCCCAAAAAGTTCCCTCACAAGCTCGACGTGCAGAAACACTCCTGGGATTTTCAGGAAGTTCCTCCAGATTCCAGGGATTTGGGAGGGATCATTCTGGAAGGATTTGGGATCGTTCTGGAAGGATTTGGGATCATTCTGGAAGGATTTGGGATAAATTTGGAAGGATTTGGGATCATTCTGGAGGATCCAGGGTAATTTTGGAAGGATTCTGGATCATCCTGGAAGGATTTGGGATGATTTTGGAAGGATTTGGGGCAATTTGTGAAGTCTCCCAGCAGTAAAATCCCATTTTAACACCGATTTTTTGCCTCTCCCTCCATCTCTCTCCTTCCCATGCCCTGACCCCTCCATCCCCCGATTTTCCCGGGATTTTCCTGGGATTTTCCCATGATTCTCCCAGGATTTTCCCATGATTCTCCCAGGATTTTCCCATGATTCTCCCAGGATTTTCCCATGATTCTCCCAGGATTTTCCCATGATTCTCCCAGGATTTTCCCATGATTCTCCCAGGATTTTCCCATGATTCTCCCGGGATTTTCCCAGGATTCTCCCAGGATTCTCCCAGGATTCTCCCGGGATTTTCCCATGATTCTCCCGGGATTTTCCTGGGATTTTCCCATGATTCTCCCATGATTTTCCCGGGATTTTCCCATGATTTTCCTGTAATTTTCCCATGACTTTCCTGGGATTTTCCCATGATTTTCCCAGGATTCTCCCGGGATTCTCCCGGGATTCTCCCGGGATTCTCCCATGATTCTCCCATGATTCTCCTGTGAATCTCCCATGATTTTCCCGGTGTTTCCCGGTGTTTCCCAGTGCGGAAGCTGCTCCCAACGAGTTTCCCCACAAGCTGTACGTGCAGAAACACTTCCAGATGTTCCTCCGGATTCCAGGGATTTGGGAGGGATCATTCTGGAGGCTTTAGGGATAATTCTGGAAGGATTTGGGATAATTCTGGAGGATCCAGGGTAATTTTGGAAGGATTCGGGATCATTCTGGAGGGATTTGGGATCATTCTGGAAGGTTCCCAGTGACAAAATCCCATTTTAACACCGATTTTTTTTGCCTCTCCCTCCATCCCTCCCCTTCCCATGCCCTGACCCCTCCATCCCCGGATTTTCCCGGGATTTTCCCGGTGTTTCCCGGGATTTTCCCGGCATTCCCGGTGTTTCCCAGTGCGGAAGCTGGCTCCCAACGAGTTTCCCCACAAGCTGTACGTGCAGAATTACACGTCGGCGGTGCCGGGGACGTGCCTGACGCTGCGCAAGTGGCTCTTCACCACCGAGGAGGAGGCGCTGCTCAACGACAACGACCTGGCCGTCGCCTACTTCTTCCACCAGGTATTCCCGCCCGGAATTCCCAGCTGGAATTCTCCTGGAATGCTCCTTTCCGATGGGAGAAGGTGGTGGAGTGCAGCGGTTGATCCCAACATGGGGAATTCTCCCCGGTTTTATGGGATTGAGGCGCTCCAAGCGCTCTCCACGATGAGGAATTCCCACCTGGAATTCCTCTGGAATCCCCGTTTGGGTCAGGAAAAGTCCTGGAAGGGCGATTGGATCAAGGATTGATCCCAAATTTGGGAATTCCACCTGGTTTTATGGGATTGAGGTGCCCCAAGCTTGGAATTCCCACCTGGAATTTCTCTGGAACGCTCATTCAGGTCAGGAAAAGTCCTGGAAGGGCAGTTGGGTCCAAGGGTTGATCCCAACATTGGGAATTCTCCCCGGTTTTCCGGGATTGAGGCGCTCCAAGCTTGGAATTCCCACCTGGAATTCCTCTGGAATCCCTGTTTGGGTCAGGAAAAGTCCTGGAAGGGTGGTTGGCTCCAAGGGTTGATCCCAAATTTGGGAATTCCACCTGGTTTTATTGGATTGAGGCACTCCAAGCTTGGAATTCCCACCTGGAATTCCTCTGGAATCCCCATTCAGGTCAGGAAAAGTCCTTGGAAGGTAGCTGGGTCCAAGAGTTGATCCCAACATTGGGAATTCCACCTGGTTTTATGGGATTGAGGTACCCCAAGCTTGGAATTCCCATCTGGAATTCCTCTGGAATCCCCGTCTGGGTCAGGAAAAGTCCTGGAAGGGCGGTTGGCTCCAAGGCTTGATCCCAAATTTGGGAATTCCAACTGGTTTTATTGGATTGAGCTCAAGCTCACCGGAAGGGCTCCACCAGCTGAGGAATTGCCATTTTTTTCCCGTTTTTTTCCCTTTTTTTCCCCGGATTTTTCTTGGATTTTTCCCATTTTTTTCCCTGGATTTTTTCACGGATTTTTCCCGGATTTTTCCTGGACTTTTCCCTTTTTTTTCCTGGCTCCCAGGCCGTTGATGACGTCAAGAAAGGCTACATCAAAGCCGAGGAGAAATCCTACCAGCTCCAGAAGCTCTGCGAGCAGAGGAAGATGGTCATGGTGAGTCATCCCGGATTTTCCCGGGAATGCGGCCGGGAAGAGGCTCTGGAATGGGTTATCCAGAGAATCCATGGATTTCTCCAGCCCTGGGAGAACAGCGGGAACGTCCCCGCTGTGGAATGGGATCAGCTTTGAGCTCTTCCCAGCGCATTCCCAATGCTGGGATCCCTGCCCATGCCTGTATCCCGGTGAATCCCAGAATCCCGGTGAATCCCAGAATCCCGGTGAATCCCAGAATCCCGGTGAATCCCAGAATCCCGGTGAATCCCAGAATCCCGGTGAATCCCAGAATCCCGGTGAATCCCAGAATCCCGGTGAATCCCGGTGAATCAAAGAATCCCGGTGAATTCTGGGATTCCCGGTGTCTCCAGCATTCCCGGTGCCCCCCACATTCCTGGTGCCTCTGGCATTCCCGGTGCCCGGCACTCCAGTGCCCCCCACATTCCCGTTATCCCACATTCCCGTTATCCCGACATTCCCGTTATCCCACATTCCCGTTATCCCATTCCCGTTATCCCATTCCCGTTATCCCATTCCCGTTATCCCATTCCCGTTATCCC